GTAATTACTGCTCAGAAAGGAGGCTGAGGTTCGGCTTTCCGGCTCCGCACCTATTCTGTAGTTTTTCTTTGCTAGCTTTCCCAAACAATCTGATTTACACGTTCTCTTTGTGTGTTTTCTTTGTCTATCTTTAGCTCCTTTGATTCAGCTTCGTTGGCAACAGCTCTTCCCGGAGTGCTGGAAGAACTTCCAGTTCCACAGTGGAACAAGGCAAAGACTGGTGGCTGAGAAGCCACTCTTGCAGCTGCCTGGTGGCTGCATGCTCCGTGTGGGGGCCACTTGCCCTCAGTGGGCATTCTCCAAGAGAATGCTCCAGCTGAGCATTCTCACAAGGAATTCAAGCTGCCTTCTGGGAATGCCACGCCTGGCAAAATTTTATGACCCTGGATGTCTTTCTTTTGGGAAAAGAGGAGGATGAGGAAGAGAAGAAGGAGGAGGGGAGGAGGAAGAAGAGGAGAAGAAAGAGGAGGAAGAGAAGGAGGAAGAGGAGGAAGAAGAGAGAGGAGGAAGAAGAGAGAGGAGGAAGAAGAGAGAGGAGGAAGTGGAGGAGGAAGGAGAAGAGGAGAAGGAGGAAGAGGAAGAGAAGGAGGAGGAGGAGCACCAGCAGCTAGGTCCTTCAGGTTTCTCTCTGGAGGTGTGGGCAGAAGCAGGAATTCTGATGTGTGTGTGACACACTTCACCTTGTTCGAGACAGGGTCTCTCACTGAACCTGGAGCCCATGTTCGAGCATCTAGACTGGCTGGCCAACAAGCCCCAGAACTCCTCTTGTTTCTACCCGCCAGCACTGGGGTTATAGGCATGCAGTGTGGCCACAAGTGGCTTTTCATGTGGGTGCTGGGGATCCAAACTGAGTCCTTATGTTCACACAGAAAGCGCTCTTCCCACTGAGCCATCTCCCCTGCCCAAAGACATCCTCTTTAACCAATGCTGAGTTTGCATTATGGTTTGGATTATTTTACACTAAGTTCCCATAGTTGGTTGGTGGCTTCCTGGGTTCAAATGCAGCTTTCCCACTTTCTGCCTAAGTATCTGTAAGTTCTCTATGCCTTGGCTTCCCTTATGTAAATGAGCATGTTAATAATGATAACATTCCCACCAGTCTTCTTGTGGGGATGAGTGAGTATGTGTGAACAGTGGCTGCAGGGGTCTCAGTTGCAGGGATCCGAAACTTCTCCACACTCCTCAAGCCACAGCCCTAATCCTGACCCTCTGGACTCAGAGAATTTCATAATTGTTGTCATATCATTATTACTAAGAAATTAGAGGCCTCAGGCTGGGGTATGTGGTTCAGCTGGGAGAATGCTTGTCTAACTTATATGAAGCCCTGGGTTTCATCCCCAGCACAAAATCTACATGGTGGTTGACCCCTCTAATTCAGTCATGGGGAAGCTGGAAACAGGAGGATTAGAAATTCAAGGTCATCCTTGACTATCTAGTGAGTTTAGAGGCTAGCCTGAGCTACATGAGACAGTGTCTCAAAAACAAAAGGAAAAAAAGAAAGAAAAGAAGAAAGAAAGAAAGAAAGAAAGAAAGAAAGGAAGGAAGGAAGGAAGGAAGGAAGGAAGGAAGGAAGAAAGAAAGGAAGGAAGGAAGGAAGGAATGTGTGGTGGTTTGAATAAGAATGGCCCCATAGGCTCATATATTTGAATGCTTAATCTCCAGAGAATGGCACTACTTGAAAGGATTAGAAGGATTAGGAGGTGTGGCTTGTTGGAGGAGGTGTGTCACTGGGGTGGGCTGTGAGGTTTCCGAAGCCCACACCAGCCCAGTGTCTCCTTCTAGGCCTGCAGATCAGGGTGTGGCTCTCCACTACTGCTCCAGTGCCATGTGTGCCGACATGCTCCCTGCCATAATGCTAATGGACTAAACCTCCTTAACTGTAAGCCAGGCCCAATTAAATGCTTTCTTTAGGAAGTGTTTCCTTGGTGGTGGCGTCTCTCCACAGAAATGGGACAGTGACTAGGAAAGCAGGGGAAGGAAAAGAGGAGGGGACCTCTGTTACAAACGACAGGATCTCCATGTCACACATTTCTAGTTCACAAGGGCTCATCTCTTCCTTGCAGCCTCCAAAGGTACAGCGCCCCTCCTGCCAGCTCTCGCCTTCCTCTGTGGACTTGGTCCCACTTTTGACTCTTAAAAAAGGATCTGTGCTTTATCCCTGTCCTGTGGGCTCCTTCTCTTCATAAATACAAAGTGGGGGAGAAAACACAAAGAAATCACAATTATTAGAAGTTGCTTATACTTTTCTCTAATTGTGTCCTTCTTCAACCCCTCCCTACAATGATGAGCTGTTTGTCAGTTTCATTGCCTTATTCCTTGGTTTCAAAGCCTTCTGGAAGGATCCATTTCCTGCAGAAGGAACTTGCTCTCCTCAGCCACCTGGAGATGCTGTGGTTTGGGTGTCTCCCAATAGCATAGCCTGAGGTGATGGAGCCTCTAAAGTTGGGGTCTAGTGCCATGTTCTTGGGAGCTTGTTCTTAGAGGGTATAGCGCAACCTGAGTCCTTTCCTATATCTCCTTAATTCCCAGATACCATGAGGTGAGTAGCTAACTCTGCTTTCTACCAACCCACCATGATGCCCTACCTTGCCACGAGCCCCCCAAAAATGAGACCAGGCAACCAGGTCTGAAATGTCTGAAATCACGAGCCAAATTAAACCCTTCCCCTTGAATATGAGACTCTTAGGTTTTTATTGTATTCATGTTGCTGTCAGGGTTAATCGACCATAGAGTTGATTGAACTTGGAATCAACTAAGAGACAGCTCTGGGTGAGCCTATGAGGGCATTTCAGGAAGGATTAGTTGAGGGGATAAGACAAAAAAAAAAAAAGTGTTTTTTTTTTTTGTTTTTTTGAGACAGGGTTTCTCTGTGTAACTGTGTAGCTTTGGAGTCTGTCCTGGGACTTGCTCTTTAGACCAGGTTGGCCTCAAACTCACAGATATCCTCCTGCCTCTGCCTCCCAAGTGCTGAGACTAAAGACATGCACCACTACCGCCTAGCTGCATGGTGCTTCTTGTATGTAACCCTTAGAATGGGTGGCACTTTCCATAGTGGTCCTGGTCTGAGGCAAAAGTTAGCCTGCCTTCACTTCACTTCTTCCTGCTGAGGATGACTGTCCTGATGTTGCCCTCTGCTCATACTCGTTTCTTTAGCCTCCCAACATGAACTAAAAACCAGTGTCTCTCCAGGACTCCTCCAGGCCTTCAGCACCGGTTTGGAACAGCCAAAGCCCGGAATTTCACAGACTGAACGGCTGCTGATTCTCAGCTCAGTGAAGACACTGTTGGAGGAGCAGCCTGTGTCATGGAAGCCAGTCCAGTGGACACCCTTTGGAGGAGATTTCCACCCTGTTGTGTTCCTCTGGACCTGGCTAACACAGCCAGAAGCTGCCTAACCAGCCGCATCATAATCTCTTAATTGATCTAGAACCGTTTTTCCTCCCCTTTTCTTGCTCCTGGAAGGCTTTGTCATCTCTGACTTTTCCTATCTTTTTTCGTTGTTGTTTTTCTTTCTGTCAAAATTCTCCTCTTTATTCAGGACCCCGAGTCAGTGTTTTCTGTTCAGTAAAGCCTTCTAACCAACTATTTTCAGCAGCAACAGCTTCCTGGGCTCTGATGCACTGAACAAATTCCCAGTAAAGCATTTATCTCCTCCGATCACCCCTACACAGTCATGTTCACTTGACTCTCTGGATTCCGCAAGCCTGGGAAGTGGTGGACAGACAGAGGAGCTGTCCACCACGGTGGTTCGAATAGGTATTTAATTTACAAGTGCTGAACAGCACATACTCCCAGTTTGCCTCTAGGAGAGGGCATTCCTGGGAGTTTATCTTGCAGGGTGGAGTGGAGGGTGTGTGTGTGTGTGGGGTCTGTCCGGCCAATGTTGTTGCCTTTCCTACCTAAGACCCTGTCGGAAACAACAATAGAGCCAGACTTTACCTCACATCTTAAACATTTCCTTGTCATTTCTCAAGCTTCAAAAGCATGGTTTTCATTACATTTTTTGAGATAAAGTCTCATGTAACCTAGGCAAGCCTTAAATTGATGTGTAGTCTTAAAGTTGATTTGAACTACTGAAAAACTATACAGTAATAGCAATTACTGTAAATAAATCAAAGAAATGCATGTACTAGAAAAAGAAAAACTTATCTACTCTAATGGCATTCCCCAGAGAGAATTGCTATCAAGCTGCTTGAAATGTCTCTCTCTCTCTCTCTCTCTCTCTCTCTCTCTCTCTCTCTCTCTCTCTCTCACACACACACACACACACACACACACACACACTCCTTCCTCTTGGTGAAGTCTATAAATTTAAATTTCAAAGCAAATAAGCAAATTGGCTTGACTCATCCTGCTAGTTGCTCCTAAAAATGATTTGGCATTTTCCTGTGTGTTTTTGCACGGGTCTGTGCACGTGTGTGCACACGTGTGTGCCCATGTGTGCAGAGGCCAAAGGTCAAGTTTAGTCGATACTCCCTGGGAGCTGTCCACCTTGGTTTCTGCTGTTGTTTTCTTTGCTTTCAAAAATGTATTGATTATTGTGCGTGCGTGTGTGTGTGTGTGTGTGTGTGTGTGTGTGTGTGTGTGTGTGTACATTGCATTTCATAGTGCACACACGGAGGTCAGAAGACAACCTGCGTGAGTCAGTCCTCTTTTCCCTTCAGTCTCGTGAGGGATCGAACTTGTGTTTCCAGGCTCAGCAGCAAGTGCTGTTAGCCCTGAGCCATCTCACTGGCCAACAGTTTATTCCCTTTTTCATTGAGGCAGGTCTCTCATTGGTTCCAAACTCCAGCGAGTAGGCTTGCTGTCTGGAAACTGAACCCCAGGGACCCTCCCGTCACCCAGTCCCCAGCTCACAAACCCATGATGCCGTGCTGTATTTTTAAATGGGGTTCTGGGGACTAAACTCCCTAGGTCATCATGCTGACCCAGCAAGTGTTTTTTCCCACAGAGCTGACTCCCTGCATTCTGAGTATGTTTTCTTTTTGATTGAAAATGGCGTACTTACCTGGCAGGGGAGACACCATGGTCACAAAGGCAGCTTTCCCAGGGTGGGGCGTCACCATTGTACTCAACATGTACTGACCCTTGCAATTTCCCTAAATTTGGGAGACTTGACGGCATAATTTGGGGTGGTGGTGCTGCGTTCCATACTCTCCCCTGTATAAAAAACCAAGCCAGTACATGGTGAAGGCACCGTGTATTACAGCTGGTTCGTCTTCTATTATTGGGCATCCCTACTGGGTAGCTGTCTTTGTTTGTAAGTATTGCTGAAACCACTGTTCTGATAAGAAGGACGTTTTTTTTTGTTTTTGTTTTTGTTTTTTTTTTTTTCCCCGAGACAGGGTTTCTCTGTGTAGCTTTGTGCCTTTCCTGGAACTCACTTGGTAGCCCAGGCTGGCCTCAAACTCACAGAGATCCCACGTGCGGGTCTTAGGGATGCTTACAGATACCCGGCAGGTTGGCGTCAAGGACTTAGCTGTGGCAGCATCCTTGGCTTTGTTTTCGTCTTGGTTCCCACCTCCTCCCTTCAACGGGTCTCTCAGGTCACATTTGTGTCAGCTGCACCCGGCAGTGGCAGTGTGGTCCCTGAGACAAGACCCCTTGGCCTTCGGCTGTGACTCAGCCAGGTCACTTTTCTACAGGGAAACGTTGTTGTGAACTCAGGATCCTAGAACCTGCTCACTGTGCGTTCTGGGATGGAGCAGTGGTGGGAGCTTTCCTCTCTGAAGTGCAAGTGTCCTGTCTCCATAGCAACTGGCAGGCAGCAATGAAGATATTCTAAAGAGACACTCGTGTCCTCGATCTGGCCATCAGGCTATTGAACAAGGTAGCCTCCAAAATGAGAATTTCCCTAGGCATCTCATGCTGGGAGAAGTGAAAGGCACCAGAGGGGAATTGTCCCCCAGAAAGAGACCACACAGTTCTAATAACCTGCCAGGCTACCTTAAGGCTGTCAGACCACCTTAAGGCTGTAGCCAGGACAATGACGGGTCAGTGATGAGCAGGCCCATACCTCGACCAGGATGGGTTAGGTATGCCAGCTCTTGGCTCTCTATCTAAACAATTAATCTTATTTCAGGACCTCAAAGAATGACAGAAAGGGGGTCCTCTTTCCAGTGTGGTCACTTTGAACACACCTCCCTTTCCTGCTTTGAATCATTAATTTGGTTCTTTTTTTTTTGACTATGCAAATAAATCAATTTTTATATTGCAATATTTATACTTACTACATAAATTTTAAATTACATTACATTAGAAGCATACAATTTAGTTAAATATTCAATTTTTAAAAATTATTTGTACAATATATGAGAAATACAGTGATGACATCAGTAAATGTAACATGTGTTCAGTGAAGAGACAGAAATGCCTTTGTACACACCGGCTCTGCCACTGAAAACCTTGGATCACAATGAATACCCAACTAACAATAACTGGACTCATCCTTTTCTGTCTTGGTTTTGAGACAAGGCCCAGGCTGGCCTGGAACTCCTGCCTCAACTTTCTAAGTGCTAGGACGAGAGGCACCCACCCATGCCCTGCTTAAACTGGTTCAGTCTTGAAAGAAACATCCACTTTCTCTGGCTGAAGAAAGTTCTACAGAACAAAGACCCCCATGACAATCCAGCTATAAATGAAAATTCCAGAATGAGAGAAATCTCAAATTTTTCTTTAATCTTATTATCTTTTAATTGGCTTCTTGAGATAGATGGCCAAACTTGACTTTTTAGAGTACAGGTTGTGACCCCAAGTTTGGTCACATGAAGCCTGCTAATGGTCACAGTAGTGGTGAAAATAGCTATGAGCATGAACACATGGCGTTTCTCAGGGTGGTTAGAGGTAGAACCTAGGCTGGGGTGCAGCTCCATGCTAAAGCCCTTGCTTGGCATGCGCAAGGCACCGAGTGATCCACAGCACTAAAACCAAGGACAGGGTAGGATGCAGTACTTGCAGCCATTCTGGAAAGGACGGATCAGTGCTCCTGGGAAGGTCAGATCAACTGCAAAGCAGCAGTGACAGATGTCACAAGCGGTGCCAAGGCTGCAGGCTTTTAGAGGATGTGCCCCTACATACAACAGGGAAGCATGCTTCTAGAGAAAAGGATGGAGGAGCAGGATCATAGTTCACCACCAGGGATGAGCTAGAAGTCAGGTCCTCATCAGAGGAGCACAGACAAGGGAGAAACGTGGGTTCCAGATGCCTGCAGCTGATCTGTGGTTAATAGAGGCCAGAGACGGCATGCATGGCTCTCAGCAGCCATTCCTCATTGGCTCAGGCTTGAGGCAGGGCAATGGGGGAACCAGCAGGGCAGGCTGGAAGGGAAAGAAGAAAGCATGAAGGTGTGATGGCTTCTCTTTCCCCAGCAGAGCTGGGGGTTGACCACAGCAGACGCTGAGAACTAAGGCTCCTCAAGGCTCCTAAGACTTATGCCCAGCTGTCACAAGTCTCTAACTCTCTGGGCTGGACACTGTATCAATCAAGGCTCAATAAAAGAAACAGAACTCTCTCTCTCTCTCTCTCTCTCTCTCTCTCTCTCTCTCTCTCTCTCTCTCTCTCTTTTCTGTGTATGTATGTATGTATGTATGTATGTATGTATGTATGTATGTGTGTGTATGTATACATGCGTGTGTGGGATAGATTTAAGCTAAGGTTAATCAGGGCACACTTGTTTGAAGCCTTTTCTACTGGTAAGCACCTTACAGTGAGCCCATCTGTGAATATGGACTAAGGCTCCAGGAAAGAAATGTTCAACCCCAGACCAGATGCTGCTCAAGTCAGACTTACCTACAGCCCTCTGTGTCCATCCTCATAGTTGATCCTGGAATCCCAATCCTCTCGCCTCAAGGAAGTTTACAGACTTGCAGTTGCCAGAGGCCATCAGTGGGTTATGGTATATCCCTCACTTGTACATGAATACAGCTCAACTCCCGGTGCCTATTCCCTGCCTTATAATGAAGATCCCCCATCTAAGTGCATCCCCCTCCACACTTCCCCCACATTCTCTAAGTCACACATTAACAAGTGTCCTTCCTCCCTTCCTCCCAGATGCAAGACACCTTCTCTCCTTCCTCATAGCACTAAGATGGACTTCTTGCTCTTCTGAGTGGTCTGAAATCCTTTCTTATCTTGTGCACCCTGCCATCCCCTCTCTGGTGTTAACTAAATCTGTGGAACAATTTGCCACAGTGTCCTCTATTCATAAATGTGTATACAGAATGCAATACATTCTATAATTATGTAGACTGGGAAATGGAAAAGAGCAAGAGCTAGTTGGAACCTGGCTGAGCATAATCCCTGTCAATGCTGGTGGTGTGGACATCCTGCAGTGCTGGTGGTGTGGGCATCCTGCAGTGCTGGTGGTGTGGGCATCCTGCAGAAGCTGAGGCCCTCCATCAAAGAGTGAAGCCTGCCCCTGCCTAGGAACTGTGCTGGGTAACAAGGATCCAGGGGACAGTGTGATTGCAGGCTCTGTGGCTGCCTTCCATGAGGACCAGAGCCAAAAGAAAAGTGAGAACTCACATGTGAGCTACAGAACACCTGCTACCTCCCTGCTGTGTCCAAATCTCCCATGAGACTCTTTCTTGTCTCCCTAGCCAGAAACACAGAAGGGATGGTGTTCTGGAAAACTGCAACTCAGCTTAACCAGGCTGGTATAACACAAAGCAGCCATAAGCCACTTCTCATTTCTCCGATTTTACATTTACTTTTAAAAGTGTGTGTGTGTGTGTGTGTGTGTGTGTGTGTGCGTGTGTATGTGTGTGTGTGTGTGTGTGTGTGTGTGTGTGTTTGTGTGCATGTGATGAGGATGGGGGTTGTGCATATGAGTGCAGGTACCCTTAGAGGCCAGAGGAAGGCATCAGATCCCCTGGAGCTAGAGTTGGTTGTGAGCTGCCCACCATGGGTGCTGGAACTGAACTGGGGACCTCTGAGTTTGGTTTATGTGTTTCTATTCATTCAGTCATGTCTCCAGGCCTTTAGTTCTCTTCTTGGCAGGTTTCTACTTACACACACTACCAGAAACCGTACTAGATCTCCAAATACAGGCAGTAAAAAAGTTATACTCCCACTTAACATGATGCAGAGACACCAACTCTTTCTCTTAAAGATGTATATTGTTGGTTTTGTTTGAGTTTTTCTCCAGGAGATTCATATTCTCATTTTCATATCTTGTGCCTTCAATAGTGAGATATAAAGTTAAACCTATAGACACATTTCACACCAGATGATAATGAGGAGAAAGAAAGAAATAAAAAACAGTCAACAGGGAGGTGACACCTATAATGCCCCACCCATCCCTGAGGAGATGCTGTAGTCAACTAAGGGAGGAGGGAGAGACATTTCCCTCAGTGGTGTGGTCACTGCTAAATTGCCCCTGCTCCAGAAAATCCTACAACCCCCACATCACACTCCTGTAACTAACCCTACTGAACACTCAGTGGTTCACACACACACGAAAGAAGGGGCGAGCTGGGAAAGAAGAAGGTCATCAGTGGCTGTGGGAGGGGACAAGAGTGATGGGTGAATAGGACCAAAATATTTGTGATCAGAAAATATGATCAAAATATTTGTGATCAAAATAGGATCAAAATATTTGTGTATGAAAATGTCACAGTGAAAGTCATAATTATGTACAATAAAATGGGGACTACATATTGATAGTTATAATGGATTCTGAAGCAGCAGATCACTGGATGTCCATACTATTTACCTTTTTATTCACTATCTACTTCAAATTCCCTCTGTCTTCATCAGGTTGACTTCATGTAGCAGGAGGAGAGTTTTAATTTGATCAGCTGTGGTGGATCGTGCAATTGTCTTGTGTTCCTGGAGAAACTTCTGAAAACTGTTAATTAGATGGAAGTTATAGTGAGTCAGATGAGATCAAAGATTAAGGGACTCAGTCAAGGTAACCGTTGTCCTAATGTAGACCCAGTGACAGCAGTGATTTCATCCAGGAGAAACTTCCATAAAGCGCTTGAAAGACAGGGTAAAAGCTAAGTATGAGGATACTAAGGAGGAAAGGAGCGATGATGTAGTGGGTAGCCATCCCAGCTTTGATCTGGAAGTTCCAAGCCCCATTGAGGCTTCGGTAATTGTCACCCCTACAAGGCGGGGCTGGGAGAGGACCCCTGAAGACCCGAGATCTGGATGGGCCAG